TTAACAACATGGCCATTAGCCCCACATCACTGGAAGAAGACAATAAACTTTCATATTTGAGTTTAAATATGGTCAAACTGAAGGTACCAGGAGATTTAAAATCCCCTTTCTTGGCTGACAAAGGTTAACATTATCCACTGCTTGTGACAGAAGTTTTCTATTTAGTGACGGACTATTTAACAGTGATGACAATAGCTCAGACCATGCAACACTAGATGATGAGTCATGAATAATGACTTGGAAAGGATATGACAGGGAGGGATCATGGCCTCATTTGATATACTATCCTGCATTTTTCTGGAGGGAGTGATCAAAACCAAGGAAAAAACCATCAAGAATAGCCAGTCTCCCTACAGAATTTTGAATCCAGCACCTCCCACATATAAATTAGAAGCATTACCACTTGAGCCAACTTTCTTGGTTTGATATGGTAAAAATTTTGTATTTATGCAAATGTTAAACCCCTGTTTCCTACTTTACAACGTACATGTTTCTCACCTGAATGACACCTCATGTGTTTTGTCAAGTCATAACTCTGAACACATCTCCAACCACATTCAGTACATAAATAACGTTTTTCTCCCATGTGTGCTCTCATGTGGTTAATGAGAGTGCTTCGTCGTCCAAAATTATTGCCACACACACTACAGTGGTATGGCTTCTCACCTGTATGCCCCCTCATGTGTTTTGTGAGTGTGTCACCACGGCTGAAACTTCTACCACACACAGTGCATAAATATGGTTTCTCTAGTGTATGAATCCTCATATGCTTTCTCAAACAACTTCCAAAACCAAATGTCTCCCCACACACAGAACAACAATAAGGTTTTTCACCTGTATGAGTCCGCAAATGGCCTTGAAGTTGATGTTTCAGGGTGAATATCTTCCCACAATCATGACACAAAAACCGCTTTCTGTCAACCTCAGGTTTTGGTTCTGTTTGTAATCTGTCCACAGCCTTAATCAAAATATCTTGAGGTATAACATTTGAAACACATTTCTCTTCTTGTAAACAAGAATCATTTGAACTGTTAGTCTTATTTCTGACCAACCAACTTTGGGAAGCACCTTCATCAGTACCACCATTCCCAGACTGCACAGCACTTTGCTTCCTGACCTTCCCATTCTGCATGTCTTCTTGCCATCTGTCAGTTTCTCTTACTTCTGAATTTGGATGAAGCTTCTGTCCTTCTGCAGCATTCTTCTCAAATTTCCTTCCTGTTGATGGTTTCTCAGATTCTATTTTAAACTTGGCCATCACAGGAACATGCATCTCCATGTCTCCACTGCAGCCACTTGAAGTCGTTTCTGCAGGGAGATTAGACCACAGGCTTTCATTACCAGGAAGAAAACCAACTTCCCCAGCCAATCTGCCAAAAATAAAAAAAATGAAATTAAAGACGACATATAAGCATGATGAAATTATCAGCCACAGCTTAGTGCTTTGTATAAAATATGCATGCCTGCAGAACAAAAGTTAAATCTCATGCATATTCATGTGCAACTGCTGAAATAAGGATAACTCAATTGGGAAATGCCTGTTCTTTATTAAGTTAAAAAACTGTTTGATTTGATACCAGATACCATACAATGAACTCTATTGATCAGGGTCCTTCTTGAAAAGGTAATATTTGTTCAGCTAGTTGAGAAATTCTCTGTTTTTGCATAAAACCAGAAGTTTCATTACCATGTTCACAACAGCCCACCACTATACCCACATGATTCAGCTCATCCTTATACACTGTTTTCCTTTAAGATCCATTTTAATCTTATACTTTCATCAATACCTCACCCTCACAAGTGGTCTCTTCCCTTCAGGCTTTCTAATTAAAATCTTGTATGCATTTCCCAGCCCTCATGCATGGTACACGACCTACCCATACCATTCCCCTCGATTTGATCTCCCTAATATATGCTGAACAATTTTTAAGGTCCTTATTAAGCGGTTTCTCTGTCCTGTTATATACCCTATCTCTTAGATGCATATATTGTTCTTGCAACCCTATTTAAAAAAGGTGGGAATCTCTGTTCTTTCCTCATTGTAAAAAAAAAAGTTTCAGATCCATACAGAAAAGGTAAAATTATACTTTTGTGTATTTTAATCTTTCTGTCTTTTTAGGATGCTGATCTGAGCGGCAACAAGCACACACCAAATTTAACCTGCTCTTACCTGCTTCACAAATGTAATTATATAAAACAACAATTTTATGAGTTTCATCTGTTATAATGTACTGGAAGTACATGTGACAAGCGAGACAAAAATGCACGCAGAAATTTCATCAAGAATCCTCCTATGAGGGTTGGAACTTTAATAGTGACAACTATTTATTTACAACTGATACAAAATAGATGCATGTTTCAAAGTTTTATTGTCCTTCAATGTAGTCACCATCATTGTGTACAACCTGTTGCCAGCAATGTGGAAGTCGTAGGATACCTTTAGCAGTGTCTGTTGTGTTGATAGTTTGAATGGAGCGGTTTACTGCCTGAACAGTTCTGAAGCGAATGCCACGAAGTGGTTCCTTCATCTTAGGAATCAAGTCAAAGTCACAAGGGCTTAAGCCCAGGGAGTATGGTGGATGGTACAGCACTTCCCAGCCCCATCGATTGAACAAATCAGCCACAGCTTGCGCTGCATGCGGCCAAGCACTGTCCTGCAAAATGATGGGTGGGTTCTGCAGAAAGTGTCACCGCTTCTTTCTCAAAGCTGGTCACAGGTTGTGTTCCAAAAATGAACAGTAATACTGCGTACTGGCAGTCTGCTGTCAGGGAACGGTATGCAGTAGGATAACACCATCACAGTTGTACATGAGAATCACCATAACTTTCACATTGCTGGAGTTCTGAAGAACTTTTGATTTTTGTGGTGACCCGTAACGACACCATTCATTTGATTGGTGTTTCATTTGTGGCTCGTATGATTTGGCCCATGTCTCATCCAGTGTAATGATACGGTGTAAGAAAGCCTCTCCTTTGTGCTCCAAGTGGTTACGAGCAGCATCATATCATAGCCATTTCTGCATTTCCGTCAAATCATGCAGAACCCATCATGATGCAATTTTTCTCATTCCCAGGCATTCCTTCAGAATGTGAAGCACAGTTATATGTGCTAATCCTGCCCCTTGGGCCAGCTCACAAATCATATGGTGTAGATCACTCTCCAGTAACACAGAAAGAGCACACACTTCTTCTTCACTGATACTAGGACAACCTGGCTGACACGTCGGCCACATTTTGGCGTCCCTCGTTGAAGGCTTTTACCCACCTTGCCACTCTTCTGTAAGGCAATGCAGATTCCCTGCAAGCCTCTTGAAGACCTTGATGACACTGTCGTGCTGTACGGCCTCTGGCACATTCAGTCTTTTTGCAACTCCGTTGTTCCTGTTTCGAAAACATCGTGACAACACTACATTAGACCGCCAGCTAACATGAGGCTCTGTCCTTCTTGTCACTGCGCATGCACATGATGTGGGAAAGGAGAGTCCATTTGCTCTGAGGTAAGGTAGGTATGTAACTAACGTGTTGTATAAGCGACATTATTTGGTTCCGTTGCATGGCGTCTCTACAGCAGTGTTGCCTCTATTAAAGTTCCAACCCTTGTATAAAGGCATCATTTGCCTGACTGGGAAAAAAATGCAGATCATGTCAAAGTGATGGTTTTAGTGGAGTTAAAATGGCTACCACAGAGTTGGTTGGCTGCTTCCTGAAAAGTTACACATTATAACATCTGAGTAAGTAACTAACTAACTTCATGGAGCTGAACCCTTCTTGAGAAGCCGCCAGTTCTTCAGCTACTCAAGAACTTCCCAACATTTTGTGGAACATGAAGGTTCATTACTGTGTTCACAAGAACCCTACACTGGTCCCTATCTTGAGCCAGATCAGTTCAGTACATACTGCCCCATCCTATCTCTCTAAGATCCATTTTAATATTATCCACCTGTGTATGTCTTGGTCTTCTTAGTGGTCTCCTTCCTTGAAGCTTTTCTACCAATATCCTAGATGCACTCCTCCCCCATTCATGCTGCATGCACTGCCCATTTCATCCTCCTTCACTTGATCATTCTAATTATACTTGGCAAAGAGTACAAACAATGAAGCTCCTCATTATGCAGTTTTCTCCAACCTCCTGTCACCACATCTCTCTTCAGTCCAAATTTTCTCCTCAGCACCCTGTTCTCAAATACCCTCAGTCTATGTTCTTCCCTTAATGTCAAGAGACCAAGTTCACACCCATATAGAACCACAGGTAAAATTTAGTTTTGTATATTCTAATTTTTCTTTTCTAGACAGCAGATGAGAAGACAAAAGGTTCTAGACTGAATGGTAGCAAGCATTACCCAAACTAATTTTCCTCTTAATTTCGTCCTGAATCAAATTTTGATTTGTTACTGTTGTTTCCAAATATTTGAACTATGCCACATTTTCAAAGCATCTGTTAGCTACCTTTATGCCATGATTTTGCCCTGCATTCTGGTGACAAGACAGCAACATATACTTGGTTTTCTCTGTGTTTACTTCTACACAAACCCACTTACTGTCAATTAAAGCCTCTGTGTTTGGGTTTTTCTTTAAGGTATTTGTGTTATCTCCCTGTAGATTCACATCATCAGCATACACCAGCAGCTGATGTGTCCCATTTAATTTCAGTCTCACCTTGTTTCCTGGACCTTCCTAATGGCATATTCTAAAGCACAGTTGAAAAGCAGTGGCGATAAAGCATCTCCTTGTTTTAGACCATTTTGGATTCTGTTGGATATACTGAAACACCTTATTTGTTTGAACTCATAGGAAATCTGTGCCAATGAAACAAAGTTTACATTCCTTGTTGGGGGGGGGGGGCACTTGTAGAGACTTGTACAGTTTACAAGTTGGCTCTAAATTCATCTCTGTTGATTAATTATTTTCACTTCCTGTGATTTTTTTACTTTGAGATCTAATATGCCAAAGTGATCCACCTTTCAATTACACATAATTTCCTTCCTTGGACCCTTCGCTTTCATCAACTTCTCTTCCAAATTGACTACAAGTCTGGCAACCAATGACACATGTTGCAGAATTGTCATTTCTTTCCTGAAGGCTTCACTTTCATCAACTTCTCTTCTTAGTTACAAGTTTGACAGCCAATGGACCATGTTGCAGCTTTGGTAAATACATTACTGTAATTTATTCATAAGGTGTGTCCACCAACCTCTGTTCCTCAGTACTTGCTACATCGATACTGTTCTCTTCAGCAGTAGTTTCTTCATTAACTTCAACTTTGACTTCAGTAAACGTCCAGCAATAATCAGCAGTTCCAACTGTGGAAGGCTGATGACAAAAAATTTGGATCAGAAGCAATGGACAGATGTAAGTGGTACAAGGCAATTCAAATAGTAAGAGCAGTTGATGTAAAAAAAACTGAGGACATGTCAGAAGATCAAGTATACTCTATATTACAACAAATTTAAACATGACTTGGGTTGCCAATATGTTCAGTGTGACCCATACAACCTAGTGTAAACATATCAGCTCTGCTTTTGGATTGCATTTTTGATCATCAACATGCTGTAAGTCACCTTTCATGGTTGACGGGAGTTAAACACTTTGACATTCAAATAAAATGGTGGCACAATATGTGCAAAGATTTCTTACACAAAGAAAAATGTATGCATGGGTGGAAAGATTCATAAATGGCTGATGAAGACTGAATGGGTCAACCAGTATGTCAGAAATGCTGGACAACAATCAAGTTAATGGTCTGATTCAAGGAACAGATAAATTACTCTCACAGCTGTAGTGTAAGTCCTAGACATTACCCATGGCTCTGACTTTTCCATCACAAATTCCAACCTCAATTATTGCAAACTTCGTACAAGGTAAATCCCAAAGAAGCCTACAGATGAGAAGCACAATATAAAGGTAAGAGCAATTTAAGACTGGAGACCTTGCAGGCCACAATCTGTGTGTGAATTATCAGTCTGACTTCAAACACCCCATTTACAACATTAATGGAATAATTAGCAGTGTGTGCTGTAACAACATCTTGCATAAAAAGACCGCATGTCTTTTCTTCTTCTGTAATGCTCTCAAAATTGAGCCGATGAAAGTCAATGACAGCCTGTTCAAACAGTACAGATCCTACGAGTACTATTCAAGTTGCAGTAATGACACATGACACCAATCTTCTGACTGTACAGGAGTACTTTGAAAAGTTTGTCTCAGATTAACACTGCTCCAGCACCTTCTGTTTTGAGCACTGATATACCTACTAAGATGCAACTAAGCTTCATCAAAGAGTCCATTGTGTACTGGCTGCACAAACAAGTTAAAAAATATCTTCTCTTGTAATCGCTATCTTCAACTGCTTGTAAAAAGCTTGACATACTATCAATCTCATGTGTATATTTGCTCTCATTGATGATATTTGTTGTTAATAATTTGGATAAGTTTCAAACCAATAACTCTGTACATGTCATTGGTACCACAAGGAATGACCACCTTCATATACCTTCAACACATCATCCTATCAGAGAGGGGTGTATTATTCAGGTGTCAAGCTATTTAATACTCTGCCGTCAAATATCACAGTTTTAAAAAATGATAAAAAGCAATTTAGGTTTGTTTTACAAAATTATTTGCAAAGTAACGCATTTTACTCTATTCATGAATTTGTCAAGCATGTATTTTCTTTTATTGCTAGTGGAGTGGGACTAAGTCCCTTGCACTGCAGCCAATTCTGGCCTATTGTACCAGCCCCAGATGATAGGTAAGGGTGATTGTGGAGCAATTGGTGGAATGAAGATTAGCAGGAGAAACCGCAGTACTCGGAGAAAACCTGCCCCAGCGCCATTTTGTCCACCACAAATCCCACTTGACCAGACCCGGGATCCAACCTGGGCCGCCACGGTGGGAAGCCAGCGACTAACCATTTGAGCTATGGTGCGGTCTTGTCGAGCATGTAATCAGCTCAAAAGTTAAGAGTTAATAAATGGTCTGTGTGCATGAATTATAAAGTGTTGAGACTTGATTTTTGTAAGTGTAGTAGTATGTATGTTGTCTGTTTTTTGTTATGAATTTAATATTTTATAATGTAACTGTTTGGATGATATGGCTTGCCAGTGTGTGTGGAATGGCAAGGTGTGAATTTGATTGTGGTTTCTTCACGACCTATGTGTGTTGTCCTGACAACTTGAGCTATTCAGTCTGAGGCTTTATTTTATATTTTATTGGACCAAGGACAAATGATGTGTAGTCATCATGAATTTGTAATATGTGACATGTTTTATATCCAGCCCTACAAGGAGATGACTGGATCCATGAAATGAAAAATAAATGTAAATGTCTAATCCTATGTGGTGGCAGATGTAACATTTTAGTCACTCTCCAGGCTGCTGTGGTTGAAACCTGTACCTGTTAAAATGTGTGAGGAATTCGTGAGGTGAATGTTTATTCAGTTCTGTCAGACCTTTCCTTGGTAAGCACAGCATTATGTTCAGTGCATTTCTCATCTACGAAAGCCTCAGCTGGAATGCATTTTTGTCACCAGTTTTGTAAACTGTTAAGCTAGAATTTGAACTTTAATTGTTTCTTGCATCCTGTTGTGTATTTAATCAATATTAGAGTCAATTTTACCGACCACATAACTTATTTTTATTATTATTACACTACATGTTTTGACCTCAAGAGGTCATCCTCAGGTGTACGAACACAGCTGTATAATTACACGCAATCACATTCGTCTTCTCACTTATTCGATCCTATATCTTATTCAGGCCCACGCTCAATAATATATCAAGCTCCTCTCACAAAACACAAGTTAAAATATTATTCTAAATGTCAAAATTTAAAATTTAAAATTTGTGAATCAAATTTCAATTCAGATCACTAGTTATGCTTTCACTTTCACTTGTTATTCAGTCACTTCCTACTTACGCTCATCACTGCATCAAGTTCACTTTAACTAGTTTAATTATATTATTGGTTAAAAATTCATGAATTAAAGTTCAATTTTATTATATTGGTTGCACTTTTCACTTTTTGAAGGTCTCGCTGTTCTTCCGCATCCTCTGATGTTGCTGGATCTGTTACGGCCCTTGTCGTGATGGCTACTCTTGAGGTTGAAACATGTAGTGTAATAATAAAAATATGTTGTGTGGTCGGTAAAATTGACTCTAATATTGGCTAGAATTTGAACACCTGCATACTTACAATAAAATCTTCTTTTTCACAATTTATAGGATTATTTTTCACATAAGACCTACTGTTCAAGTGCATATTTCACCATTTCAATTTATGACTATAAATGAGGACACAAAACGGATGTCTGAATGTCTCATGTGAACAGAAACATGAGTATCACCAATACATTTTACATGAAGTCTTCTGAAGGTGCAGATACAGAGCCATAAAAAAGAAACAGTCACCATGTAGCAATGCAAATGACAGGAGTGTGCCTCTCAGCTTGTCACAAGAAGCACAGTCCACTCCTGCTTGCTTGCTTTTCTCAGTCAGGGTAGCTGGATTTGGTTGCTCAAGAAAGACAATGTATCTGAGAATGCAATACCAATGAGATGGCATCAACTGGGAGTTGATGTTATGAGGCCATACTGATACCAAAAAAACCTACATGACTATTATAATAAGTTACTTAATACTTAAAAGAGCTTAAAAGAGTTTATATAGAACACAGAACTGAATTCATCCATTTACCTCCATACCCTGAGACCTGGTGAACTGCCGTAATGTAGCATCTGAACTTTCACACTGCAGCTTGAAGTTGAAAGATTCATTCACCCGGTGAATACAGCGCTCACAAACTTGAGATGGCAGACCATCACCAGCAAACATCTTGAAGCATGACAATCAACAGGCCAATGGCTAAGTAATAAGTCAGCTATGCTAGTGCTTCAAGAATATTAAGGACTTAAAAGTGTTTCAGATTTTGAGAAGAATGGCTGTATAAGCACAAAAAACTAGGTTTTGACTAAAGTAGGAATAATGGGCTGCATGTGGAAAAAACATAATCTTGAATCAGGGGAGTATGCATTCCTTACTGTTCAATTTCCATATAATTCATACAATGTAATTAAATACAAAAACCTAAAGAGGGAATCCAGAATCGTTTCACTTATCCTCATCTTTCTTTCTGAAATAACATGAAATTAGATTATAACTGGATAAACTTATTAACATTAACATTATAGTGTAGTGGTTGACATGGTACGCTACAAGCCTAAAGGTCGCGGGTTCAAATCCTGACAAGGTCATTGAATTTTTTTCAGTTGACCTAATCCTTCCAGCTGCACTAGGCCCTGGGGTTTACTCAGCCTTTAACAGAAATGAGTACCAGGAATTAATTAAATAACTTTCCTGGGGAGTAAAGCGCAGCCGGGGCGTAAGGCTGACCTTACCGCCATCTTTGAGCCGATTGTCTAGATAATGTGGGACCCTCAACATCTCACAACCCTACAGGCCTTCACGGCCTGGTACAAGGATAGCTTTACTTTACTTACTTACTTACTTTATTAACATTATGTGAAGTAATAAAAAACTGAAGAAAGCAGGCTTCTGGGATGTGGCACCGTGTAGCTGTGGTGTTAACCGACGTTTCCGAGGAACGTATCACCTCCATCTTCAGGGTAGAAGGAAAAATAAGAAAATCTGCAAGCGAAGAAACAGTGAGAACAGGTTCAAACAGACCTTGTAAGGATGAAGGCAATATGTTCCTCCAAAACGTCGGTTAACACAACATCTACATGGTGCCACATCCCAGAAGACTGTTTTCTTCAGTCACCACCATGAAAACCTCAAATCTTACATAATAAAAAACTGTTTGGGCAATGCATAAAGTAGTAGAGCTGTCTAACTTAAATGTGTGTTTTTCTTGCCACCATAACGTCTTTTTTAAGCCCTTACTGATGACTAACCACCAAGTAAGTGTTATCTTCACAATATAGCATGAAACAAATTAGAATGATATGTGTTAATCCCAAATTTAAATAGAACACGACTTCCTTATGTAAGGAGGGTTTATTAGGACAATGATTTATGTTAATTCCGGAACGCAGAAATAAACCTCAAAATTTGGTATATGCATTGATCACATTGCAAAGATTGTAACATAATACCGCCTCCAAAAGTATTACATCGATTTGTTGAATATATACGCCAATTCTTCACAAGATGAATAAACAAACCTTTAACACGGGCACTAATGTCATGATTCTATCGGGAAGGGCCCCATCTTCATCAAAAAGGGGCAGTAATGAATCTTTCTCTCCCATACATAGACGACACATGTTAGCAAAATTCACCACCATTTCTATGGTAAATTTTGAACTAACAGTATGTTCGGTATTACGTTCCTATAACACGACTTTACATGAAGGTAAATTCATACTAAATACAAACACACCACAATTGCCACTTTAATAAGGTCATTACAAACAATGACAGCATTATGAACAATTATACTTTTGGCCGTTTGGAATAACCACAACACACAAATATTATGGCACGGCAGAATTACAGCAAATATTATATATGATTTATATATATTGAACTGTGGTTTTAAGAAATAAATGCACATAATGAGCAACGAGAAGATATGAAACTTCAACACTCCTTGTAATAGTCCGTCGTCATTATTGTCATTCTCCTTCACGTAGTTAGTGGAATCTTCCGCATCATCATAAACCGTCCACGCACGCACATCGATTTTTCGTCTGGGGTGTCACAGAGCTCTTTTTTTTTTTTTTTTGCACAACAAAAAGGTGAAGTTGTTCCTGTGATTAATTACATAAGCACCACTCACCACGAAGAGGTATGGGGAGTGAATGTGTATCTCCACCATTCTTAATCTTGGAACTAGATGGAGGTGTGTGGTCAGCTTCACGTTCCGGACGCTTTAACCCCAGAGAAAGCGCCTCAGATACCCACTAGCTGGCTGAGGCCCTACGCCCGTCTGGACCTGTCTTGACGCTCTGGAATAGAGAAAGATCTTTTGTCCCTGCCCCGGCTCCTAGGCCGTCCAGCCCGTCCAGCCCTTAGCCCGTCGCTATTAGGGGTATAACAGCCAAGTCTTCCCGGTTCCTCTTCTTGTGACAGTTTGTGGTAGAATACGTGTGAGTGCAGTTTTAAGTATGACAACTTCATGAAGTTCATGAATCAGCAATAAACAAGATGGCGTACACACTAGAACAGCACTGCCTAGTTTGTGAAAATATTTTGCCATACTGCTAGTATTTTCGCGGTTCAGCATAAATCCGGAGTAAAATGTGAATGGTGCACTGTACCAACAAGCATGTCTGCAATAAACATCTTAGTTAACCAGTCTGAAAACAATGGGAGCGTTATCGCGAACAAGAAGGGCGTCGAAAGAAAAATATGAGAACAACTAAAAACATTCACCTTGTTGAGCAGGTGTTGATGTGGTGACCGAGGAAATTTGTAAAAACAACTTTCTTAGCAATTCAACATGAGCGAATCATCAGGATACAGGATAATTCGAGAAGACGTGGACCTGTTTCAGTACACAATGGAAAATCAGAGGCAGGTGAAGACAAGAAACATAACTGCTGTGGTTACTCTAAGATGTTTTTGAAGGACAATCCAGGAGTATCCCTAAGCATAACGGTAAAGCCCATCTTCATTTGAGCGGCAATGTGAGTAGGTAAAATATGCGGGTGTGGGGGAGAAACACCCGCATGTCATAATGGAGACCCAGCGACGCCCAACAAGTTATATTGTTTGACGATACTGAGACTACTGATTATAATCTCCATGTCATCCCAAAAGAATTTATTCCCTTTCTTCTTCAAGTAATGGGTGTCATTTTAAGAGAAACATGTATTGTTGGACGATATTAGTGAACGTTTTGATGACAATGTTTTCTAATCGTTTTACTGAACTCTTCCGATATGTGTTATCCTGGGCACAGTACCCTCCAGATATTAAACCATGGGAATATTTTTATGGAGCTTTCTGAATTGCGTGATTTGCAAAGTAATATGCACACAATCGAAAACTGAAACAAATTTTGCCAGGGCGGATCAGAAACTCGGGATGCAGTTGTGCGAAATTTCCTACATCAGTTACTGATTGTCATTTGCGCCCACATTGCACGTTTTGGAAATGTGCGTATTTATGTGGTTGACATATACAAGAAAGTTTTATGACTTCATTTAAAATATTCCTTGTAATTCGTCATTATGCCTGAAAAAGTCCCTGACTATCGTTATGTAAGGACCTCCAATATTTAATTTCACGAAAATGTGAATAACAGTGCAGTCAACAAGATCAAGTTCATGTATGACATTGCGTAAAGTAGGCTTTGTAATCAGTCAGTATAACGACAAATCTGTTGGATTATTTTCTCATGATGGTAGTACTGCTTGAAGGTAGCATAAATTTGAATTGATCATCCGATCAAATGGAATTCAAAACAAACGTAACGTTACTTACGTTTGACGTATTCTGACCTGGAAATCTTGGTGGATAATTTTGAATTTAAGCACGGTGGAAACAACCAGACAACAGAATTTGTAATTTGCTCCGAGACAGTCCTGTCCCAAAAGACAACGCCTGATTAAATGAGAAGTGCTTACAGCGCAAAAATGGAAATGTTAGAGCTACATATGCAAATGTTTGTGTAAAAAGGGAAACTTTCGTTTGTGTTAAAGAAAAGTTTGTTCATGTGACAGTAAAACTTAATTTTTTATTTTTATGCATCATAAACAGGATCCAACACTACAAGATTGCTTACAGTGTGCATGTTCATTCATTGCCGTAGAAAATCAACGATTCCACTATCTACATGCTCTGCCAGATGGAAATATGTTCCATTCTACTCGCGCTGTCTCATAGATCAAGTGATTCCGATCATCGGTTGTGTCCCACTAGTCATGCTGTCAAAATGCCGCAGCCATACCGAAGTGAAAGCAATGCTAACATTTACCGGCAAATGCATGTCTACAATTATGTAAATTTTGGTATTATATTAATGATTAATGTAAGTTGCTGATAATTACTACACATTAACCCGTTTTATAACACATTGATATATTGGGTTTTTGGACATTATCCACTCAATCACCGGACCAAGTGATTGAGGCTAGCTCTTTCTAACGGACCCAACAGAATAGGGGTTTCCTTCACCTGAGGACGGAAGCAGATCCAGTTTCCGAAACGTCGTGTTTTTATTAGTTATCTTAAAAACCAGGACGATGGATAATGTCCAAAAACCCAATATATCAATGTGTTATACACCATCGTCAGAATCCTATAGTAACTACCGTTTTATAACGTTTTAATAATCGCATTGTATAAAACAATAGACATATAATTCTATTAGCAGAAACAGGACATGATTGTGTTTTTTTCTGCATACTTTGTCGTGGAAACTATGCGTAGGAATAGTTCTAATTTCTGGGATATAATGTACTGTAATCCATTGAAAGTCCCTGTTTCCTTTCTGCTTCGCGCTGGTTTCTTGCTTGGATTATTCTTAGACCCTTAAAAGGAAGGGGACATGTTCCTCCGAAACATCGGTTGACTTTCAGAACTCTTCGTAACCACTGTTGAGAGAACCCCAAATCCTATATGGCTGGGGCACACCAAGGAAACTGGAAACCGCAACGCAATCGCGATTTCCGAGAATTGTTATCATCCTGAGTTGAACACATGTTACTGAATGGAGCAGAGGAAACTGAGGAAACGGCAACGCGACTGGCGGAAAGACTGAGAAACTCAACTTCCAGGCAATGGAGCATGTCAGTCTTCTCACAATTGCGTTGCCGCATGGTTTCCTAGTGTCAGCTGTTTTTTAACGCGCTTCGGTGATTAATTTGTTTTTTACGATGGCACGAAAGATTGACTAAATTGTTAATTTTGTTTTTGTACAGTTAACTGAGTAAGAGCCTGGTATATATGACAAACGCCAGCCCGACTATGCTAGGCAGGACAAAATAGATTTTTCTTGGGAAAGAATTTCTCATGAGACGAAGGAGTCCGGATCCTGGATAAGTTCTTTCGATACAATATAATCACATCAGTTTAATTTGTTACAGAAGAACGGATGCACGCAATGTTTTCTTCTCTAGTATTCTATTTAAGCATATATCATTAATTACACATATATTTACGTCTTAATTACGACTTATTATACTCGTATAGTCACCATGTTTCCACATTTCATGGTTCGGCTGTATACGGTCAAAATCCGGTGTCTTCTATCTTGCTAAAATTGTTGCTCTGTATGTCAAAATTTCTTATGGCGTCTGAACGCGATATTTCCTGATTAAAATAAATTGATCTTAACTAAAGCAAATTAATTAACATCTTAATATTTTCCTCATGTTCGTCGTCCTCTCTTTTCACGCCGTCTCAAGCGGTCTTAACTACCACCATATTATGAAAGAATCAGTATTGCAGGCGGTAAGTGCACGAAATTAAATAGTACAATCTTGCATTACATCGGACGAACGTACGAAATTCAGATCGCTTAAGATGATGTGAGCAACTAATCTAACATACGTTTTACGAGTGTGAGCCTGCTAATATGGAAACCAGTTGCTTGCTTGAAATCGGCGACATTTCTCGGAAGCTGCGATTGCGTTGCGGTTGCCAGTTTGCTCGGTATGCCCTCGCCCATGTAGGTGTGGGAAGTGTGGCTGGTTACATGTCTCAGCTGAAGTCTGCAAGAGTTTACTTCTTGTTATGCAATGCATTGGAGGCGTACAACCGAGGCCATACGGCTTTTCTACTTTATTTTCTCTGCTCCAGAAGTTGCACCATTGGCCTCGTAGCTATCAGGTGTAGAACTATACGTCTAGGAAGGTTTCCTTTCGCAGTATGTGTAGAACGTGTAGAAGATGTGATTAAGTAATATTTGTTAACATATACAACACACGTCACTAGACTCAAAATGTGATGGGTGATTTAGGTGGCAGGATATTTTATGCTTTCAATTTTTATTCAGTGGCGGCGCAAAGGTCGCGAAAGGGGGGGGGGGAAATGTTTTTTTTTTGTAGGGGGGTACACGGGGAAAATGTCAGCTGCACGGTTGGAAGTTGCGTATAAGCGACATGGCACAGAATTGTAGTAGTGTTGTAATGGATAGTGCTGAAGATCGGTTTACTCATTTGAAATAGTAATTAGTGTATTTGAAACATGATGGAAATTGAGCAAGAAACTGTATATGGGACACACGAAGATTCCCATGTTGTTATGTCAGAAAAGGTTCAGTCTTTGGCTGGCAGTATATACCAGGAATTTGAAAAAATGATAGCGAAGTATGATGAAGACGTAGTAAAGGACTTAATGCCTCTAGTGGTCAATGTATTAGAGTGTCTAGACTTGTCCTACACCGAGAATCAAGAACATGAAGTTGAGCTTGAGTTGTTGAGGGAGGACAATGAACAGCTGGTTACTCAGTATGAAAGAGAAAAACAGTTAAGGAAAACGTCGGAGCAGGTGAGCCAGTAAAGTGCAGTGGTGATACTACTACTCATGATTATGATATTAGTAAATGAATGTTTTCATATTTAAGTCAGTGAGTTCTTTTATGAGCCATTCTGTCTGAAATCAACCTATGGCTTGCAATTTTCAGTCTGACTTCTTAGGATGTCAGTGCACCGCTAGAGATGCTGTAGATGTGAGTGAAGGTGCCAAATTTTAGCCCTGTATGCTTTTAAGAATTCAGAATTTGAAAGAACCGACTTTTTTTTCTTTTGCTATGACATGGCTTGTGAAACTTGCAATGCTCTGGTCCTAGTTGAGCTAGGGAGGTCATTTTGGGCACGTTTGATAGCTAATGAAGTGTAGTTTCCATTGTGGTACCACATGCAGAGGTTAAAACAGATCAGACTCAGGGCCAACGACCTTTATGCAGTTTTGAATTGCTCAAAAGAAGTATCATAAAAAATGCCCTAGCCCTATTCTAGTCCACATATTTCCAAAAAATTGTGACAAACAAAACCATCATCAGGTAACTAACCCCTCATTGAGATGGCAATATTTGTTTAGCTACTCAAGAAATTCTACAACTTTTATGAAATGTAATGTTTCATTATTGTACTTGTAAGAATGCTGAGTGCTATTCTGAGGCGTATCAAGCAAGTCCATGTAACCTGATTCTGTAGGTTTAAATTTGGTATTGTGCTCCAATCTACACTCAGGCCTTCCAAACCATCTTCCTTTTTCACATTTTTGGTCAAAAATTTCAACTGTCATTCATGCTACATGTCTTGGTGGTCATCTCATCCCTCTAGATACTATTTGGTGAAGATTACAAATTTTGAAGCTCCTCAGTTTTCTGGTTTTCCATTACCGGCTTATAGGTGCAGATATTTCCCTTAGCATGGTCAACCTATATTCTGTGTGTGTGTGTGGTGGGGAAGTAAGCCTACATTCATATGTCAGCCTGGAGACTACTGTCCTGAATTAGGTATTTTGTAATTTTCATCATTTCTTCCAGGCAAATTCTGGAAGTGCACCTTATATTTGGTCTTTGTTACCATCATTCATGCTATTTCATATTCATTATACACAAATCATCTATCATTCAATGGTATATAATGTGAGTTATCCAAAGTGTCATGAAATATGCCATAATACAAATTCACAGCCATGCAAACCAACAGGCAAACTAATAGATTTGTATATTTTAATCTTCATTTTTTAAAAGGAGTTAGCTAGACAAAAGTTTCTGTTGTTAATGGTAGGAAGAATTCCAACAGTGTAATTACTGTTATTTTATTCATGAAAATATTTTTGGTTTGTTATTGCTATTTGAAAGCTATCCCTGTAACAGGCTGTGGAGTCCCATAGGTTTGAGACGTTGAGACTCCCACATTTTCTAGACATTCGGAACCCAGATGGCGGTGAGTTTGTCAGCCTTCCATGACGGCTGCTCTTTACCCCCAGGAATATTCGTAGTACTCATTTCTGATAGAGGCTGAGTTGACCCCACGGTCATAGTGCAGATGGAAGAATAGGTCAATTGAAAAATGTGCTGACCTCTTCGGGAATTGAATCCATGACCGTCTGGCTTGTAGCATAGTGCCTCAACCAACTATGCTACCATGGATACAGCCACCCCCAGCCCCCGCCTCCCATATCCCTTCATGGCATAGTGCTTAATTTGTTGAGCAGAGGGACAACTTTACCTTATTTATTATTATTTGAAATGTATTTGAATTCTGGCCACCCTCTGCTGTTAATGCATCCTCTGAGATCTATAGCTTTTGACACTCCCAATAACATTCATCCTCAAGATGGCAGCTGCAATGTTTACCAGAGCATTGGAGAACCCTTAACATTCCATGCAGGTTTTTGCCAAAAACCAAATTTATACATGGGATTGTAAGAGAATACAGTGGACACTTATAAGGTGCATTGTGCAGAAGGAATTGTGAATGACATGGTAATTACCATGCTTTTATAAGGAAATAAGGTGTAGCTAAGGTCAGAAAGAGAAGCGGTATTGTGTAATTCTGGAGATGTCTTTGATAAAACAAATTAGGAAGGCTATATATAAACCTTAAATTCACATCCACCTATCTACTAACATATTATACTAGAGCAATTTATGAAATTAATGAAGTAAATTTGAATTCAGCGCATTCTAAACCCAGTCAAGGTTATATTTTCGTTTTTATTTTCTTAATTTTGACCCTTTACTGAAACAACTGAAGTGTGTATTGTTGAGTAGATTGAAGTTGTGATCAAGAGTAAAAGACTCAGAAGCTCAGTTATTTGAATTTTAATTAACGTTATACAGGGAGGATATTTACTCACTAGATGAGTTCCTAGCTCGACACTTTACAGCAGCCAGTGCACCACCTGCTGTGAAGTGCATACAGTTTTTGCCAGTGAATCAGCCGAAAACGTTTGGAATGAAGGGAAGTAATTAACTTGTAGACCTCTTCGCAGCATTATGTTTAACAGCGAGCAGTGCGGTTCATGCTTGGTAGTTTGTGATTTGTCAGCAGTAGGCAGCAGTTATTAGCTCCATTAGCCAGTTGTTCTCAGTTTCAGTTAGTGCACAGTGTGGTATGTCGTGGTGCAGTATACTTTAGGGCAACATGTATTTCTGTTTGATAGCTATGTGAAGTACAGATCTGCTGGAAAGTGTTGGCTAATTTTGATGTATATTTTATGATGGGATAATTCTCAGCAGACAAACAATTCACAATTTGGTGAAATACTTCACACAATGGGGCTCTTAATAGACAAGAAACAAAAACATATGCGCTTAGTGCTTACTGAGAAGTAACATGACATAGGGGCCAGACTTAAACATACACGTAGAAAATCACTGAAACATCGAGCTCAAAGACTGGAGTGTCAAAGTCTAATGCAGAAACGGCAACACAGTTAGTGAAGCCATCCAGTGAAAGTTGGTGTCTGGTGTACTGTAAGTGCAAGAAGGAATGTTGTACCTGTTTTCTTAATGAAGAAACTAATTGCAAAAAATATCTGCATGTAGAGAGGATGATGGCATTTTCAATACCTCCCTTGATCTGTGAATTGTAACTACTTCATTCATTTATTCATACATTTATTCACCTTACTCTTCTCTCTTGCACTACAAGTTTCATCACTAAAGTGCCATCTTCAGGTGCTTTTCTGTGTACGTCGAACTACTTCATTGCATGCCCTGTTGTCTTTATACTAAAATAACTAAAATATATATTCGTCATATATAATGATAAATTTTAAATATTAAAATATTAAAACTGTTCAGGATTTGTCATCCTTATGTCGTATCTCAATACATGAGTCACACCTATCTTCTTCTATCGGAGTATTCTTCCTATTTTCATGTGTGTATTGTGCTTTGTGTTGTGTCTTGCTCCTGTGACTGCGTGTGTTACTTCATTCTGAATGTTATTGGCCATCGGCCAAATTCGCATGCGCTTTGCAGCCAGCGCTGCACCGGTCACCATGACACGCAAAGCCGTGAACTTGTCGCATGAGTAAATATCCCCACTGTATTTGTATATGTGATTAAACTTACAGAGTTAGGTGAGAGGAAGCTTTATTTAATTATTATTGAGAATAAGAGGTTTTGGTAATCTTGGGGTGTGTGTGTGTGGAGAATCACTGTTGAATGTTTGTTAATTTTTGTATGTATTTGGAAGACCTTTATTTAATGAGAATATGTGCTCATAACATAATTCTTATTTAATTTCCAGGAAACCATAAGTTTTGTGGGGGAAGCATGTAAGATGTAAAATGTATTTCATTTTTGTCCACAATTTTTGTTTGAAGTATTTTTCATTCCATTGAATACCCATTTATGCTTGAGATATGTGCAGAAATGTATGTATGTAGGCGATCAAGTAATGTGTGTCCTATTTTTGTCCCATTTTAACTGGGATTGGAATGTGCTGACAAACTGCCAAATGTCCGATTTCATGAGAATCGTTTTAACAGTTGTTGTTTTATCCATACAGACAATTGGATGGATTTAAGTTAATAGGCATTCCACAGGGTTGTGAACATGCCTAAAGATGGCTGTACCCTTTTAGTAAAACTAATTTTGCTAGACTGCCTGAGCAGCAGACATGCTGGTCATCTGCATAAGCCAAGACAAAATATTTCAGTTCTTGAGCAGGTTCTCATTCTTGATAATGCATTTATTCTTTTGTATTTGAAATTGATCTCTATTTTTTCTAGAAATTACTGGAACTTGAGGATGCTGGTGAAGACGAAAGGAAAGAACTACATGGAAAAATTGAAAGTCTTGAGTCAATTGTGAGAATGTTGGAGCTGAAATCAAAAAATTCTTCTGACCATGGTATGGTGGCTTTTGCTGTATATTAGTTACTGTTTCTTGTTACCATTTTCTCTTTAGCCCATCTGTAAACACTAATTTCTTACTTTTCAGTTTACTTTTGGAGCTAGCCAGTGAGTTAAATACACAGTGTGAGAAATATTAATTTATGTAACTTTTCAGTTATAAAATCATGCAGATCTTTAATGCATCTGCGACTGGTTTTGTAGGCACCAGATCATTTCAATTGTTCTTTGTAGTGTATCGATTGGAGGAGAAGGAGCAGGAACAGAAACGAGAATATGCCAAACTCCACGAGCGTTATACAGAGTTGTTCAAGACTCACATGGACTATATGGAACGCACCAAAATTCTGATGGGCAGTGCAGAACGATTGGAAGGTGCAGCACGTGGACGGTTACCTGCAGTGAACCTTGCGCAGCTCAATAGGTGCGAACTTTTAACATTTAATTCTGATTACATGGGAGTACTAACAGATGTTACACCATTCATGTATGCATATGCATATGTATGTACTGTATGTGTATGTATATTTCTCCATGTTAGTTTCTAGACAGAGCTTGTGGACTGAATATTGAATTAATTGAATGCTTATTAATCATAACTACAAATCACTATAACACTCACTAATCTACATGGTCTACAAATAACTTCAGCTGCAAATAATAGCTATTTCTTCACTAATCATTGCTTGGTTGTGGCTTCTAACAGTGGGGATTTCTTTTTCTGATTCTGTGCTCAGTGGTTCCTTTCCCTGGCTAGCTGACGACTGGCTGCTAACCAGTGACAGCAGCCTTACAGAGAGGAACAGAGCTATGCAGAGTAGTGCAGTAATTTGCTGATCTTTGCCGGCACACTCATCCTTGATTTTGGGCCCTGTTGAGACCCATGACCATATTTTTTTGTTCGTTCAAAGACCACTTATATGTTTTAACACATTAAAGACACATTAGCATATCATGCTTTTTGCTTTTAAACGTGGCAGACCGGTCGCATGATATCCTGATTTTAGGACATGTTAGGTTGCAACACACTATACATTGCTCTTGTGCTGCACAGCTGCATGGGTAGTAAGTAAAATTTTTGAATGTTTGCTTAGTATTCAGTAACATGACCTTGCTGTTTTCTTAACCCACTCTAAATAAAAATGCTTATGTATCAGCCAGTAGTTAGTGGTGGAGTATGGATCAAGGACAAATTCTTCTCTGATGATCTAGCTTACGTGCCTTGTGAGACGCGTAGTGATGGTGACTCAGACAGTGGCAGTGACAGGGGACAACAAAGATTTGTGGCCACAGACAGTAAAAGTGACAGTAGCTCCGACGAAAATGTTGGTAGGACCATTGCGGACACAGCAGAAAATCTAAAAAAAAATAAGAAAAATCTAAACCCTGATTCGAAATTGAAATACAAAGCATTTCTGATGAATGTGGCAAAGGCTTGAGCTACAGATCAGATGGTGGCGGCAGAACGAGAGTCAGACACAGACTTAGTGTGATTGGGACCATCAACTTCCACCCCTTGCAGGCCTCATGTGGACCCCCCTGGGCGACTCTCGGGTGATATGCGGAAACATACCCTCATGAAAATTGTGAAGAGTGAACATTCCAAGGTGAAGCATCCTTCTAGGCAATGCCATGTTTGCACAGTTCACAAAAAAAAAGGAATATGTCTACATTGCAAGTTCTGTGTAATGCCACTTCACAAAGGGGAATGTTTCCAGAAATATCACACTCTCAAGCACTTCTAGGAGCACTGGTAAGTGTTCTCCAAAATTTTAGTTCATGAAATTAATTAGGAGATTTTATATTAATTTTTAAAGTGAACAGTGCACTAGTTAGGATAGTAGGTTTAATAATGCCGGTCCCGAGGGTGATCGTGGCGCCATCCTGTTGGAACCAGACATTTCCTAGATGCAGTTCTTCAAGAGCTGGTCCAAAAAAGTTTTTAATCATGTCCACATACCGCTGTGATTTGACAATAACTGCATGATTGTCTTTTTCAAAAAAATATGGGCCAATGACTCCAACTCTCGACAACGCACACCATACTGTCACCTTATCACTGTGATGTGGCCTCTCATGGAGCTGTCTGTGATTGATTCCACTCCAATAGTGCATATTCTGCTTGTTGACATATCCAGATAGGTGAAAATGCTCCTCATCACTAAAGAAAACAAGTGCGTCAGGGGGTAAAGTTTCCAATAACGTTTAGCGCACCGTTATTCAGTTCTGGAAATCACGTGGTGACAATTCTTGCACAACAGCCATCTTATAGGGATGGAAATGAAGATGTTCGTGAAGAATTTGGCGCATTGAACGATTGGATATGTCTAGGGCGACTGCATGTTTGCGAGCGGAGCATCTTGGAGATCTCAAAATCGACTGTCGAACTGTCTCCACATTTTCTGGCGTCGTAATGGTCCGTTGTCGTCCTGATGATTTTACACCACACTCTTGGTTGTCCTAAAGTTCTCTACCCACAAAACAATCAATTTCCGGCCGGAACTGGACCTCTGGGCTTAATTCCGAAGCGAGTACGGAACGCATGCTGCACCGCCACGTAGGAATGGTTGTTTGAAAAATAGGCTTCGACAGCAAACGCACACTGCTCACTCATCCACCTCATGTTTCCTACTGAGGAGTATTGGATAGAAACTTCTGTGACTGCTGCGTTCGCCAAGCCTATCCCCACTTTTCTGTGACCTCCCCTCCCTTCACATTGCATCTTCACAAAAAGCAAGTTTCTGCACCCCCACTCTGTATTACAATGAAAACAGAAGATACAAAATAAAATAAAATATAAAAATGAAATGTATACCATATATCAAGATATATTAAGTGATAAGCGTTGAATATATTATGGAAATATTAAAAATACTTAAAAATGTTTTAAAAATTTAAAACTGTTTAGTATAGGAGGTTAAAACACTGCTATATTTGTAAAGCTGCTCTTCATGAGTGGTTTGTCCAGGTTAATGCCCATCATCTTCACACTGGGATGATGGCATTAGATCCTGTAGATTACATCACTGATCTGGATGACCACCATGTAAGGTTCTTCCCAGGATGGCTTCAGCTTCAGTGACTTCCTTCTGGTCCTGATTGGGTGGTACAACCAGACCTGGTATCCTTCCTGAAATGTAGCAAGGTTGGCTAGGCAGTCTTAGCAGGCCATCATCCTATCACTGGCCACCTTCAGATGTTGAAGGACATAATGATGTCATGCAGCTGTCCCATGAGATCTGCTGTATAGTCAGTCATAAGTTTCTGCTTGTTTGGGAAGCCCAAAACAGTGGGTCACAGAGCAGACGAAGATCTTTCCCAGACACGATGCTGGTGGACATCATGCCTGTGGCCTTGTGGGTGGAGGCTTTGTAGGCTGGGAGGAAGAGGGTTAGCCTCTCGTTCTAATCTGTGTGGTTTGTTCAAATGACCTTCCTTAGGTGCTCCCATGCTGTCTTAGTGTAGCATTCCACCATTCCATCAGGCTGTGGATGCAGAGGTGTGGTGTGCATCTTGCACACGCGAAGGGCCCATAACCTTCCTGCAGGAGTTGCAACTTGAAGTTGCAGCCATGGTTATTGTGCAGTTTCCTCTGGACCCCAAAGTGGCAGAAGAGTTAGTTACCAGAACATATGCCACCATTGGTGTTTCCTGGTTAGGGATGGCATAAACCTTTGGCCATTTGGTGAAATAGTTTATGGCAGTCAGGAAGTTTTGGCTTCCCCTCTGCCTCTGGAAAGGGTCCTGTAATATCAGTGATGATCCTCTTGAATGATGCACTGACAATGGATCAAGCTCCTCTCTGAGTTTGGGGGCTGTCTGCTTTCTGTGTGCTGTTATCACTGTCTGACTTCGTCCAGGGTTTTGTTGACCCCAATATGGCCTCCTGAAGATCCTCCATGGAGCTCCCCCAGCAATTCCTTCACCTCATTCTGGGTTAGGACTATCTTCGCTGTATTTGTCCACCTGTTTTCCAACTCTTAGTGGTGCTCCAGCACACCATCTTTAACCACCAGGGGAGTTCCACTGAGCCCAGTAACTCTTGTGGGTCGGACTGCGATCAGCAGTATCTCAGAATGCTGACCAGCCTCCATTTGCTACAGTGCCAGCATACAGGTCACTTGATGTTGCAGTGAATAGTTGCTGGCTGCTGTTCTTATCACAAACTCTAACTTTATGACCTGGTTAAAGGTTTTCATTGAGGAACCTCTTGCCACACATGAAGAGATTCTGTATCATGGCCCATTCTGTCCCTCCATCAATAATCTAATAGGCTACTCCCCTCTGGATGAAATCCTCATACAACCGAATAAGGGCCTGATGGGCCAACTGCTTGACAGCTGCTGCAAATTCTTGTTTTGACTCACTGCTAAGGTGGGTCCTGGCTTTGATTTATGAGCAGTAGGCTGCCACCAGCTGGTGAATTCCACAATGTCCTTTTAGGGTCCCACAGTATCCTCATATGTTCTGCCTGGGACATTGTGTAAGACAGGCATGTCAAACTCACCTTGTACAGAGGGCCACCTCAGCCCTATAAATAAGAGTCTAAGGCCGCACTTCAAAATAGAAATATACATTAGATTTTGATACAAGGAAATTTAATTCTATTTATTATTTAGGAATAATTTCAATATAATTACCTAAAGTGGAACACTTATTTTTGCCCACAATTCAAACATGTAATTTTACCTTCTATTTCACAACAAAAATAACCGATTTCCCATTTTTCTTGAAATACATGGCGCTCACTTTCAATAGTTCTTTTTTTGCTACTTGAATTTTTGAAAGCGACATTGCCCTTTAAAAGTTACTGTAGATATGCAAGAAAACTCGTAGTTGATAATTTAATGTTTAATTATAAACTTTATACGTTCATCACAGTGTAACATCAGCACCTGTTTCTGTGTGAAAATAAACTGAATGACAATGTACAGAGACTACCGGACTAGTAGGAAGGTGTATCTTGTCTCAATGGTCATAAAAGTGAAAGTTTGCTAGCAGCCCATTAGACAATGACTGGGGGTTGCAAGCTAGTTTTGAAGGTAAAAATCCCTTGCACTTGTCTGTCAGTTGCCACCTTCCTTGCATTCTTACTACGCCTCCAAACGGGATTCTTGGAAATACTTGGGGTGGTGAGGCTGTGCGGATTTTAGTGCATTAACTTTCTGAAATACAGTAGTTTGTCCTTCACGAACTTTACAAACCGTTAGTTGGACAAACCCTTCTGCAATTCTCAGAATCACTTTTCCATGCAGCCTGCTAATTTATGTCTGCGTGAGACTTCTTGTCTTTTGATCTGTTGGAAAATTGTCTTTACAAAAAATGTTTCTACTAAAATTTTAGTAATGATTTTAATATCAATTAGCTCTAAAAGTTGAGGGGCCGCATGTTTGACACAGCTGGTGTAAGATGTTCGCGTTTCCT